GGTTGCGTCTCGATAGCTATAAGGGTGCGGGAGATATGGGGCTGAAAGTGGTTGAAAGTGGCTTTCTATTTCGAATGTTTTGTTCAAATTTGTTCGAATTTGTTCGAATTAAATTCGAACATAAAATTTGAATATCAGTTCGATTATAGAACGATCGTAAACGTTCCAGAAACGTTGAAAATAGTTCGTTTGACTGGACGTGAACAGGAGACGTTCAGAAATAGAATCGGGACCAGGAAGTGTTAATATAAAGCGGAATGCAAGATTTACAGGCAGTTTTTTGCGCTTTTGCGGGAAATCGAACATATTTTTATGCTCATGTAAAAATTCTCTGGAAACGGGAGACCTAATTCTTGCATTTTGTGAAAATGGGTAAGATTGGCTATAATGTAATTATCTTAATCTTCACTATCATTACTTTTTGCCCACAAATAAAAACCCAGCAAAGCGGGTCCTTGCAGCTAGATTCTAGATTACTTAGAAAAATAGTCTTTTATATATATAAAAAAAAAACTATATTACATACAAATGTACGAACAAATAAAAACCCAGCGAAGCGGGTCCTTGCAGCTAGTAAAATATATTTTTTAAAAAACATACAATATTATAATTTAATACATTTTCTTTTCTGGAGATTTTCCAAGAGGTCCAGTGACTGATTTCAGTTTGTGGACTTGTACTTTAAGTAGTACTGGTTTAAAAGGGTTTTTATATTTATTATAAAATGTATTTGATATCAAATTTTCTTTAAAGAATTTTTAAAATCCTATTCAGTTAAAAATTATTAACAATTAATAAACAGATTGTTTCACATATCTTGGCCAGGCAATGCATTGTACTCAATTGGGTTTTAAAAAGTTCTACAGTGCTTTTTTGATAATCCACTGTGACCTTGTCAAAGATTCATCAGACAATTCCTTTCCATCACTAAGTATTGTTTTCTGTTACTGCAAATTTTTAGAGTTAGCCAAGATTTGTGAAACAAACATTAATGTGTGTATTTTTCACATGTAATAATTAATAAGATGTTTTCATTTATCAATAGGCTTCCTTGCTCATTTGTTACTCATGCCCTTTTGGGATCATACTTAGTACAGTCAGAATTAGGAGATTATGATGCAGATGAACATGTTGATAACTACCTCACTGATTTCCGTTTTGCCCCTAATCAAACTCCTGAATTAGAAGAAAAAGTTATGGAGTTACATAAACAACATAAGTAAGTATAGAATTTTTTAATATAGATAATTCAAAGATATTCAAAAATCTTCTTGGGCTGATTCATAATAANGAAAAAATGTTTCCGCTGCCTGGTATAAAGGTGCACGCTGTGACAATATTAATGTCTGCATGATGATCCATGGAGGAAGCAGATGACACCAAATAATCTTGTTTACAGGACAATGATCAGAGGTAGTAGGGTAATTGCAATGTGGTAGCATATGAACAGCTGTAGATAGGAATAGAAACCATTGTTGAGCCTTGATGTTTGTAGTTCTGATGCAGTAGTTTAGAATTTTTTCTACAATACATAGTGGTAAAGGAAGGAGCTCTGCTTGTATCAGAGAGGCATTAGTAAAAACAGTTCTGCAGCACTTTGAAATTCTGATGGCAAACTGGCTTTGAAGAGAAAGTAATTTACTTGCTACTGAATTTTTACTAGTTATATGACCATAGCCAGAGGTCACGTAAAGTAGCATTGGTTATATTGCCCCATTATATAGAGTTTTATAAGCTTAGTTATTTAGTCCCCAGGTGCACCTAGCACATTTTAGCAGCATGTAGTTTATTTTCTTGGCCTTAGCCAAGTTGTAATCAATAGGGCAGTGGAATGTGGTTTCTCTCTATTCTCTCTTGTTTTATTTTGTATGACGTTTCTGTTTACACATGCACTAGCTAGTTGATCAGTCAAAGTTTTTTGCATCCTTTTGTGAAAATTAAAATTAATTTTATTTCACTTTCCAAAAGAAATTTAAATAAAGTTTGACTTGATTAAGTTACAAATATTATTTATTCAAATAATTTATAAATTTCTACAAAAATAAAATTAGGTTTAATATTTACCAAATGGTAGTTTAGCTGTTACTGGTTCAGAGGTAATTCCTGGATCACTGGTTCCATATTGATTTTCAGCCATAACTCTAAAATCATACCTATGATTGATAACAAGATTGCGAATGCGATAAGCAGTGCCAGATATGAAACTGCTGATGCGGGCCCAATTTATTGATCCTGCTTCTCTCTTTTCAATTACATAATTAGTAATTTCAGAGCCTCCATTGTCTTTAGGAGCTAACCAGCAAAGTGTTAATGATTCCCCATCAATATCTTCAGCGTGAACATTCTGAGGAGGTGATGGGCGATCTAATTTAAAAATTAAATTTAAAAAACATATNGAAAGAATTGTAGACCTATAAATTCTGACTGATGTCCCTTGTCTATCTGTGTGTCCTTCCGTGATCTCGAGATAGGTGCTAGATTGACGAAGGTTGAGACCAGATATTCATAGGAGCAGGAGGCCCAGATTAACTATATATGAACCTCGGATGCAAACCGGAAGTCATGTTACGTCAATTCAAAATTTTTCACCGAACGGAGTTAGGGGCCGTACATAAATTACGTAAGGTATTTTGGGGTGTGTCAGGCTCTACACATTTTTTGCCATGGGAGAAAGGCCGTGTGGTGGTTTCTCTCTCTTGTTTTTTTATTAGAATAAGTGCCCACTCCGAAGGGTTGTATAACACTAAGAATACATAAATCAAAATACATGATATAAAGTAAACATAAAATTAGTATTCGGCTTTTAGTGAAAACTAAAATGTAAAACTAGAAATTATAAATTATAAATAGTCTTTTCTTCCATATTTTTTAAACATAATTGTAAAAAGCATGAAACAGTGATTTCTGAACAAGCTTATCGAGTGGACATGGCCACCTGAAACCAAGCGTAAAAATTTCTAATTTCAGAATAAATCTATCTTGATCGTAAATTGGACAATGATAGATCATATGGTGTCTATGTTTTCTGTAGAGCAAAAGCAAAAACCAGTTTCTGCCCGGTTATACAAAGATGAGGTTGAAGGATCACTCACTTTTTCGTAACCTTTCCTAACTTGTCTATGTTCTCTGCACATCTCATCAGAATTTTTTCACATCCTACAGCACATGTTATACTATCCTAATATGTATATGTGTGGAGCCAAAAGAACTATTAGCTCCTTTTTCCCCTTTTTTAAACTATGTTTATATCTTCTTACCAGTCATGTTGGTTTAACTGTCACTATGTCAGGACTGAAGAGGGGCATTAAGCCCGAAATGCATATCCGTCCATACCAATAAAACAACCTTTTTCCTCTGAAAGTATTCCTGTGTGATATGTTCTCAACAGCAACATTGTTCTTAAAATAAATTGTTTGTTCGAATTCATTAAATTTTTATATTTTTAAATTTGTTCACATAAAGTCTTTTATAAATAACAGTACATATTAATTAACTAATTAATAATTACATATTTTGGACCTAAGGTTTTTAGGGTTTCATAAAAAAATGTTTTTTGGTTAAAATCTTTCTATAAAATCATGCCAAAATATTACGTAAGATAGGGAAGGGGAGGGGGAATCAAAGAAAATATTACGATCTTACACAGGGGTGAGTGGGGGTCTAGAATGGCCGAAATCGCCCTTAGGTAATTTATGGATGGCCCCTAAGAAGAATAAAGAACTTAAAACTCAAGACCAGAGCAAGCAAGTGAAAAATTTGTTCATAAATGAAGCATTTGATACTGCTTCTAAAAATACCACTGAAACCTTTGGATTTCATTATAACCTTCCTGCAGTCTTGTTAAAAGCTGGAATTCCTTTATGCAAATTAAACAATCTCTTAAAATTTTTTTTGGAAAATATACCAACAAAATTTCCAGATAAAAGCATGTTATGGAAAATGTACATTGACAAGAACTACAAAGCAATCATTTTAAAAATAAAAAAATCATTGGTGAATCATCTGTTGCATTTGTTGTGGATGAAACTATCAATTCTCTCCAGAGATATGCATTCAGCATAATAGTGGCTTCTTTAAATGGAGTGTCTTTAAATTTTATGTTGTTTAAAATTGCTATTTAGAATCCACAAATAATACTACAGTAACGCAAGCAGTTAATGATGCATGTTCAAGGCTGTAGAATGGAACAATTAATTATGAAAGACTGGCTCATCCTGTCAGATCAAGCTAAATATGCTAAAGGCAAAGTCTCAACTGCAGCTCCTTTATCCAAATTTAAAGCATGAGGTCTGCTTAGAATATTCACTACATCAAATGTGTGAGAAAGTGTATCAGATCAGATAGCCAACTCCTTTGTCTCTGTAGTAAAAAAAATCCTTACAAAACCCTGCTTGAGTACTGTTTTACAAAGAAGTTACTAGCTTACCTTTACCACCTGTTCCAGTTTTAGTAATTAGCACATGATTAGCAGCTGTAACATTTCTTTGTGAAAATTTTACTAAAACTAAGAAATTCATTGGGAGGCTTGAAGGTAATTCAACTGCAGTATCATGAGCCAAGGATTTGATTTCATGTACAAATCTAGAAGATGAACTGTATGCAGTTACCTTTTATTCAAATACCTAGTTGAATATATTAGGAAACGTGAAAAATGGAATTTAGCAAACAAGGAGCAATGGAATACTTTCCAGAAATGTTAAACTCCTTAGATGAATTTTCCAAAGAGAAGCTCTTCTGTCTCTAAGAATCCAGATGTGGAAAAACTTATTGATTCTAATAATGAACTGGACTTTTGTATTGACTAAATATGCATTGCTTGCTTCCACTGAGATCAAATGATTATTTTCAGTGTATCATGATTTTATGGTATCTAAACAGCATAATCTTAAATCAATCAAATCACTATCATCTTTTCAATAATATTGAAAAGATGATAGTGATTTGATGAAACTACTGTATTTGGAATAAAATGGATAAAGATTTTATGCCTTGATACAGGAAAAAATTATCTATGTATTAAATTAAAGTTTTCAATAAAAATAAAAGAAATATGTAAATTCTTTGATAAAATGCATTTCATATGCAAAGATGTATGTACACTGGACGACAAAAAAAATAACGCACCATGAAGGACTTGTTGGATTTGAATAAAAATTGATATGTTGCATCATCTTAGCTAGCTATGTAAATGATTAGCTTTTGAGAGTAGGTTCTTGTGTTATATCGCCACCAGAGGGGAAAAAATGTTTCCGCTGCCTGGTATAAAGGTGCACGCTGTGACGACTTGTGCATATGTTCTGCACTTTTATTCATGGTTTTGACTTCATTGAGTGACAGACATGCCTCTACGACGCATTCGACAGCCTTACACTCAGTTAAGTGAGTTTAAGAGAGGTCGCATTGTTGGATTGAGAGGAGGATGGTCATACCGCCGGATTGGCCGCCATCTGAACCGTTCTGATAGAACTGTTAGGATGTGTTATGAGCAGTGGGTAAGTAGGGGTACACATGAACGGCAAACGGGTTCCGGACGCTATCGACAGACCACCAGAAGGGAGGATCGTCTCATTGTACGTCAAGCACGGACAGCGCCTACAGCTTCATCGTCTACCATTCATGCAGCGGTGGCACCTGCATTACGGAACCGTGTATCCAGCCGCACCATTTCCAGGCGCTTAGTAGAAGGCGGATTGATCTCCCGACGCCCAGTATGTGTTCTACCGTTAACAGCCACCCACCGACGCCTCCGTCTGCAGTGGTGTCGTGCACGACAATCGTGGACCGCTACCGACTGGCAGCGTATTGTGTTCAGCGACGAATCCCGCTTTTGTTTGGGGGCTCACGATGGCCGCGTGAGAGTATGGTGGCCCGCTGGTCAAGGTGTGAACCCGGCCTATACTGTGGAGCGGCACACAGGCCCAACCCCCAGTGTTATGGTGTGGGGAGTCATAACATACGACAGTAGAACACCTCTAGTTGTCATGCGTACTACCCTCACAGCCCAACGATATGTGCATATGTGCAATACATCCTCCAGCCACATGTGTTGCCCCTCATGGCAGGGCTTCCGACAGGCATATTCCAGCAGGATAATGCCCGGCCACACACTGCAGCGGTCTCCCAAGCATTCCTACGTAACGTTGCCACACTTCCTTGGCCTGCACGGTCTCCAGATTTATCATTAATCGAATATGTGTGGGTCCACTTGGGTCACCAGCTGCGACAGCCACAGGATCTGACACAACTTGAGTCCCAATTGCATCATGCATGGACAGATATGCCTCAGAACATTATTCGTGACCTTTATGCCTCCATGCCGAGGCGTATCACAGCTTGTATCCGCGCTAGAGGCGGCCCAACAGGATATTAGTATCTGCACTGTATTGCATATTACTGCACAATAAAGTATGTTTTTGTTTTATGGTTGCAATCATATATCTGTCTAGCAATGACGATGTCATATACCAACTTTTATTCAAATCCAACAAGTCCTTCATGGTGCATTATTTTTTTTGTCGTCCAGTGTATATGTAGGTATGCAATTTTAATTAAATTTGCACACAGGATTCCTATCATTATTTACCACTAATATTATGTCAGATTACAAATAACAATTTATTTAATTATATGTAAGAGTTATTACAACATAATGTCATGTAAAAATAAAATATTCAGAATTATCTGCTCTTGCATATTCTTGCAATGATTAAAATGACAATAATATACAAAAACAAGTTTTTCAAAAACTTATATATTCTTTTATGAATTGTTTGGTGATGATAATATAATTATAAATTCAACTAATCAAATCTGGGTATATGTTAATAAACACTGCACAAATAACCAAGATCCAGCAAAAAGAAACTACAAGAAAGCAAACATTTTCATCCATATTTAACAGGCATCATCAGGCTAATATTTGCTTTCTTGTAGTTTCTTCTTGTTGGATCTTGGGTATTTGTGTAGTGTTTATTAATATAATTATAAATTTTTTGTGAGGACCTGGACTAGTGAAAATTATTTAATTAGCAAAAACCTGATTTAATTTTATAATTTTTGTTTTGCCAAAAACCCATAAAGGAGAAAAGTTCCATGTCTTCAATACAGTTAAGGAACTTTATAAACTTTTCCCACAGATAGCACTTCCTCTGAATGACAGCTTCCAAATAACTACTCATCAAAGGAAATAGAGACAAAATTGCAGATTAGAGCAACTGGCAACTTCACCAAAAATGGGCATTAGAATGGCTGAGGGAGGACCCTGAATAAAAGGAAAAAGAACAAATGATGACAGAAAGTTTGCCTGTCAGAATTTGTGTGCTTATCTCCGTTGTGCTCACTGCCAATCTTCTTCACCTCCAACCACTGACTGGACCTTAGCCACACCAAACTATCAATCGAATCCCACTGTGAATATTGCTATTATCTTTAATTTAAGGTTGCTTTGGACATCCTGAAAGAAAAATGTCCAAAGAAACCTTCACCAATCGATGACACGTGCCTGAATTTGTAAATGCTCTCTCTCTCTCTGTTTGATGCACTTTTGTAACTTAGTTATAACTTTAACAAATAAATTGTTATTATTTAATGTTTAAATGCAAAGTGGAGTGCTTTATTTCTGGCACGCTGTCTCTTGACTCCTTCCTCCATCCTGAATTTGACTGTTCTCTTATGCAACTGCTTGCACAAGATTTATATATGAACATAACAGTCAGTCCTGACTTCTTCAATGCCAATGTAGTCATCACAGTGCTGACTTAAAGATCACATTTTTAATTCAGAAATTAACATTTTAATAAAAAATTTTACCCACTATACAGATATCATAAAATTCCATACAAATTAATTAAGAAGTGTGATAAACAGAATTTAAAAATTTAGAATTAAAATGAAATTTTAGATACAACATTAGTATAAACTATATTTGTTAAGGTGGTAAAGCAAAAACACAGTATGACAATTACCAAACATCTAAAGCTGGATTTTATTGGGCTATCTTTGTAGATTTGGGATTAGTTGCTGTTAGACTGTATGTAATATTATTATTAAGCCTATTATTAGATTTATAATCAATTCAAAAACTTTTAAGGTCTAAATTTAGTATGTTATTAGCTAATATTATAATAAAATTTACTTACAGAATCTTGGTTTGGCTGTGACAAAATCAGATGGTTCACTAGGATCACTATGACCTCCTTTATTAACAGCAATTATTCTAAATTCATAATCTGTTCCTTCAACAAGATCTGGAACTGTTCCTTTAGTTTGTGTAGCTGGCACTTCTGCACCTTTGGTCCAACTTGAAGAGCCTCTCTCTCTCTTTTGTATGATATAACCTGTAATTGGAGAACCGCCATCTTCTTTTGGTGCAGGCCATTCTAGATCAACATGATCTTTATCCCAATCCTTAATTTGTGGTTTTCCAGGTGAGGTGGGTGGTTCTGAAAGACATTATATGTTGAATATAAATCCTTTTATTTCATTTTATTAATTTTATTATATTCTATTCACTAGCATGATAGTTTAAAATAAAATTTTATTATAATTGAAAAAATAAAATATATCACTCAAACCTTAAGAATTCTAAATAGAATAGAATATGTTGTTACACAGATTATCTATTAATATACTAATAAGATATGTAATATGTAAGATGTACTATATATTTAATGTATAAACTTTATAACTATTCAAAAAAAGTAAAGATCTAGGTAAAAAAAATTATCAAAATTTTTCAATGGATGCAAACTGAACTGAACTTGTACTGTAGCTTTTGTTAATATGTTGTGTAATTGAGTTTTTAAGATATATTTATTCTATTATCTAAAGATAAATTTATCATTTCCAGGGTAAATAAAATTATGAGACCTATTAAAATTTAAAACTAAATGTATCCCAATTCTGAGTAATTAGAATATTTATCATATTTTCAAAAGGTTCTTTTTCATATTTTTTGGTTTAGATTTGTTGTTATTTCTTTGAGTGGACAAAGTACCAGTATAAGATGTATATACTATGATATTTATACTTTGAGAGTTATTTAGATTATTTAGTTTATTACTCTATTATGTTCAAGCCCATCTGGGTAATGGGCAAAATTGTGATCTGCCACACCATCTTTAATGTCTTACATTGACAAAATCAATCAATTATTTTATTTTAGTAGTTATTATTTTTTAATATAAATTGTAGGAAACTATATCATTCAAATATTTTTAATTATTACATTTATTTAAAATTGAATTCTGAACAGAAAATAGATTAAATGTTTCAAAACTGTAATGTTGATAATTATAGAACCCAGTTGAGTTTACTAAGTAAATCAGAAATGTTTAAATTAAATAGTTTCCTTTCAGATACAGTAGAGTCTCTTTAGTCCATCAATCATCAGTCTAACACATCCAGTAATCTGACACTAAAGGGCAGTGCATATAAAATTTTCATATTACCCCTTATCAATGTATGACAGAGTGACTGATGAGTACATATACACTGTCAGTTGTTGTTTGTTTATTGCAAATGCAGTCAGCAAAACAGTCATAATCATGATTAATATAATAAATTAACCTCTGAACCAAATTGGTTTTTGCTAAACAGTATATACATAATACATACAAAATCCAATAATCTGACAATATGCTGTAATCCAACACCTATCAGTCCAATATATGTCAGATTACAGAGACTTTATTGTATTTGTAAAAGTTTGTAATTTTATATACTTATTTACCCTCATAAAGAGTTGATAACTGTTATTTTAATACATATGTATATTAAAAAAAAATATCTAATGCTTTGTGTTGTTTTAAAAGAAATAATTCCTTAATTTTAATTGTAGATATAATTATTTTACAAGTTAATAAATTGAACTGGATTATTATATTTATTTATATATTCTCTAAATAGAAATAAATGTAATACTATGTTTATGTTCAGTCCATATAAATAATGAAATATTTATTTTCCATTAAATGAATAATGTATTTAAACATACTTCTTTTACCATTTATATGTAAACTTTTAAAATATTAAATAAATGAACAATTCATTTTCAAAATTCTTAATTCTTTACTTCATTTATAATATTTTAAAACTTACCAAATGGATTCTTTGCAATGATGCCTTCATGTTTTTCTAATGGATCAGAATTACCAACTTCATTCACAGCAATGACTCTAAACTGATATGTTTTGAATGCTACCAATCTTGTAACTTTATATGTTAGACTAATAGATATGCCTGCTTCAGTCCAAGTTCCTCTAGATGTATCCATCTTTTCTATTATATATTGTCTAATTGGACAGCCTCCATCATCACTTGGTACTTTCCATGTTAATTGAGCTGATTCTCGAGTAACATCAGTAACTTCAAGTGGACCTTCTGGCGGTGAAGGTCGATCTAATCATATGTAAGAAAAAATTATATATATTAAATATAAACTTTTAACTATAAAATCAATCTAAATATATAATTATATATTGTAATCTGACCTTGAACTACTACTGTTGCTGTTGCAGAAGTTTTTCCTGAAGAGTTTTCCAATGATAGAGTATATCTTCCTGAATCTGATCTTATAGAAGATGAAATATTCAAAATTGTCTGAGTCGCAGTTGTTGTTATTTCAATTCGTGGTACATTCAATACAGTCTTGTCATGAACTAACCAAGTGACAGCTGGTGGTGGTTCTCCTTTAATAGGAATGGTGAAATTAATTGGTCTTCCAACTCGTACTTTCAAGTCTTGTAAAGCTAATCTGTCCAATGAGGGAGCCACTGCAAATAAATGTATTTAATCAATAAAAATGCTTTTAAAAAATTAAGTTTAATCATTATTATCAACTAATTTAGCTTTTTAGTAAACTAATGATAAAGTTTTAATTTCAAATGTAATTAGTTATTTATACTCATTGATATTAATGTTACTATCTTCTATGAGATGAATATAATTACTTATTTCTATGTACAATGTAAATGCTTTCATTTTGTTGTAATTACATATTATTGTAATTGAATGGAAATAAAACTGAAGATGTTGGATCAGTAGATTTTGCAGTAAATTATAATAAACTATATTAATTATACAAAACCATAGTATGTGTGATCTTATCATATGAAATTTCTGATCATTTGTAAATGGTAGTTGATAGAAAATTATGTTATTTTTATCTGTCTTGTTTTAGCTTCTATATTTGGTGCAATTATGTTAATTAATACTTCTGATAAACAACAATATATAAATGTTTATAGCATGATGTTCATATTTTGTATTTGTGCTAATCTTTTAGTTAGAGGATCATTTTGTTTATTGCATTCCTTTAATAATCGATAAATATATGATTTGGTGGCTTATTTTAAAAAATTTAATATATTCTAAGCTGCTATAATAAAAAAATTATTATTTATAAACTTTTATCATACATGTGAATATATTATTGACTATTAAATAAATATAATTATTAAGATTTCTTTTGATTACTTAATATATTTATTCAATAATTGCAATTTAAAAGTACTACTTACGGAATCTTGGTTTGGCAACAACTGCTTTTGATGGATCACTTGGTTCACTAGGTCCAGCTTTATTAATTGCTACTACTCTAAATTCATATTCTTCACCTTCTTTCAGATCAGGTACTCTAGCTTTAGTACAGTCTCCTTTTACTCTAGTGCCTTCCTCCCAAAAAGGTGACCCTTTAATTCGTTTCTCAATAATATATGTTGAAATAGGAGCACCACCATCTTTTCTTGGTGGATGTATTTCTAAATCAACATGATGACTATCCCAATCAACAACTTCAGGAGGAGCAGGTTTATCTGGTTGATCTAAACATAGGACAGTATTTAAATAGTAAACATTTTCAAGTTTTTGCTCAGTTTCATATATAACTATTATATAGTCAAAAATACAATGTATTAAAAAGTGTAATCTATAATTAATTTTTACAGATGTACATACATCTTTCAGGATTTACAAAATATAATGTTTTTCATAAGTATTTAGTATAGATATCTTATTAACTGTAGATATATCTAAGATCTATACTAAACAATTTATTTGCCAAAAATTTATTATCATCAATAAGCAAGAAAAGATTTTCTTACCAAATGGATTTTTGGCAATAATTGGTTCTCTTGCTATTAACCAAGGTGAATCTCCTTCTCTGTTTACAGCTTTGACTCTAAATGTATATTCATGAAGTTCAATCAATTTATCTGCATGCAGATGTGTATTTAGAGTTTCACCAACAGGTAACCAACGTCCTGTTTCAGAATCTTTTTTTTCTACAACATATCGCACAATTTCAGATCCTCCATCATCTTTTGGAGGTCTCCAAGAAACAGTGCAACCTTCTTTGGTAATATCAGAAATACTTAAACCTTCTGGAGCAGTTGGAACATCTATAAACAAATACATTTTTATATAAAATAAACCTATTTTTTTAACAATGTATCTTAATTAAATAAAGAAGTAGAAAATATACCAAGAATAATTATGGAAACTTTTGCACTATCTGTTCCATTAACATTTGTAGCTGTTAATGTTAAGGTCCCACTATCAGCCCGCTGAGCATTCTTCACTGAAAGTCTTGTAATATAATCCTCATTGATAATAGTCCATCTACTAAGTTCATCGGCTGGTTTTAGATCAAGGGTCCATTTTTTTGTAGGTGGCGGTTCACCTATTACTGGCACATCTAATTCAAAGCCTTTTCCAGCTCTTATACGAACGTTATGCATAGCATTACGATCAATTCTTGGTGCCACTATATAAATAAATTTTATAAGTGAATTTTTTGTTGAAAGTAGAAATTTATAATTAATTAAATATAATTTATTTACAGTTTTTGGGTTTGGCTGTATGAGGTGCAGTTGCATCACTTGGTTCTCCTGCTCCTCCCTTGTTGATTGCTCTGACTCTAAATTCATACTGATTTCCTTCAATCAAATCAGGTATTTTTGCTTTAGTTTCATCACCAGGTACTTCAAGAACTTGCATCCATTCTGGACTAAAATTAATGCATAATTTTATTAATTCACATAAGATATAAAACAACATANTTTATTTTAAAACTCATTATTATGTTGTCATAATTATTTAAATCTCAAAATAGTAAGTTGAAATATGAATAAACTGGCATATTACAGTGTATACTAAATTATATGTGGCAGTACTATTGGGTATGTTATGTAAACTATTAATATTAATATTTTATTGAAGATGTTGATTTTGAATTGAATATGTTAACTGATAGATCTGATGTGTAATAGAATTCCTAACAAGATAATTTACAGATTTTTAGTGACTATTTGGTGTCCTATAACTATACAGCAGATCCTGTTAGCACATCTCTATATATATATATACACACCTCATACAAATGTATATATATCATATAGAAGAAGATATATAGTGTCTCAATGAATCAATGAAAGTAGTATGATGGCCTTATTATACATTTCTGCCATAGGCTTACTATGTACTATAATCATATGTTTGTTCTATCCTACTGGTAATCTACCATATACAGTCAATTCTGTTTAATTGGGCCACTGGTTAATCGGGTCAGCCACTTTATTGGCCAAATCTCCAAACTAATAAATTAATACATAATTTAATCGCTTAATTGGGAAAGTAGCAGAAAAGGAATTTAGCAATTTTTGATATATTTTAGGGATCTTCCGAAAATATGTAGACACTACATACACTAATGTTGTATAGGCCTAATGGTTGGCAGAGACAAAGTGATTTTGTCTTTTGTTTGGGCAGTTTGGTTTTTCCAGAGGTCAGCACAGCGGGACATATCACATGAGGATCTCATCTGAGGCGGATCGAATAGAGCTACTGACCCTTCTCTGGATTGGACCAGACAATCCCCTTAAAAGCAAAGGGACAGATCCCCAGACAATTTTTTGAGGTCTCTCAACCAAGTTGAAGACAGCTAGATTTTCCTTCTAAGGTATTGTGTGCATGATTATGTCTAGATTTGGACAGCAGCCATCCAATCATCAAGACCAGATCAAGAGCTGGCGGATTCTACAGACACTCCTGCCGAAGTGGCCCATCTCCAAGTAAAGGAAACTGTGCTCAAAAGAAGACTGTTTAGTTAGAACATGTTCTAACTAAAAAAAGAGAAAGGAAAAATCGTTCAATCAGGAATGAATCGAATGGTCAGCACACATGTACATCACTACTATACTGTATTTGGCAACACTAGTGTGATGCGAATCAGTTAACTATCGTCATGAGTCTGGCAAATTTATAGTACAAATATTTTCTGTTTTTTGGTTTAATAAAGCATTAAAATAGGTACCTTACTTATTTATTTACCTACATATTTTAGAATTTATTATTAATTCGTTTAATTGGGCAAAAATGGATTAGTCTCAACATGTCCCAATTAACTGGAATTGACTATATTTCAGGCCAACTTATACAGTATAGACCTAAATCAGAATTTTGAGCTTTACATTAATATTTTACAATCGAAAAAAAAAAGTTTGTGTCTATTTCATTTGCTATAAACGTTAAATTAAGATTTATAATACAGTAATTATATTAAAGAATTTATAATTCTGTATATAATTATATTGGTATTCAACTGACATAAACAAAAATATTTAAACGATGCTCATTTAAATGATTCACAAATTTTCAGGATATTAATATAGATGTATTAATAAAGTACATTATTACTGAAAATTTTTATATTTATTTAGTAATATTTAATGTAATATACATTTAATTATGCTTTATTTAAAGTGTGCTGTAATAAAATCTGTTTTAATAATTTCATTTTAAAGCAAAATAAGGTTTTACTAAAATATAAATATATGTATGTTGGAAATTTTAGACTTTTAACTGTTTACAAGCTTTTGCTTTTACTAAGTTTTTATATTTTAGCCATTTGGATAAGTATTACAAAATTATATATAAAAGACATGCAATATTTAATGAATCTGCAAGTGATTATTAAAACTATTTATAAAATCAACAGATCAAATTAGTAAAAGTACAAAGTTGCAAAAGAAAAAACAAAACAGATTTCAATTGCTTTAATAGAGTTATCCAACTAAAATAATGAGTAGATCATGCTTAATGTTTTTGAGCAAATGAGATAATTTTCAGAGATAATTCAATAAAATGACTATATATAACATACTTCATAAATATAACCATTTCATTCAATACAATGTCCTATCTGCTTGAAAACATTATCATCAATTTCATTATTTTTTAATTTGATAACTTTGATATTTTACAAACAAATTATTTAGTTTTAAAAAACAGGGTCAAATTACTTAATTGGATTCTATTTTTTACAACTAAACAATTTTTAATTCTTAAGATTGCCAATAATTTATTACCATATGGATTCTTAGCAATAATTGGTTTATCAGCCTCTAATGGATCAGATTCTCCTTCTGCATTGACTGCTCTTACTCTGAATTTATATTCTTGGCCTAAAACAAAAAAATAATTATTAAATATACTCTTTATCTGAACTTTATATATTGTATACTTTCATTTAATAAAGTATAAGTTCATAAATTTAAATAAGGCTAAGACATATATATTTATATGAAAATACTTCTATACCAGGTTCAAGGTTATTAACATCCATCTCTGGTTTAGTAGTGCGACCTACAGGCACCCAACGACCTGTTGATGTATCCATTCTTTCCACAGCATAATGTTCAATAGGTACACCACCATCATCTTCAGGAGGTTTCCATTTCAATTTACAGCCTTCTGCATGTATACCACTTATTTCTAGAGGACCAGTAGGATGAGATGGTCTGTCTGAAACATGGTAATTTAGAATTAAATTACAATGATTTTCATTAATTTTAAATAATTTACGTGAAAAATATTCAAGAATAAATTTTGAAACAAATATATTTAATAAAAAGTTTTTAAAATAAATCCATTTAAAAAAAAAAAGATTAATTTAAGATTAACAGAAGATTTATTTTTAAATTTAATAAACAATGAGAAATCATTAAAGAAACTTCATCAAATATAATTTTTTGCTGAATAGAATTTCTAATATAAAAAAAAAATGAATGATATCATTCATAAAGTGTAATTAAATGAGGAGTTAAAAATAAGTTCTTAAATTATTTAATTTAATTAAAAATTTCTTTATATTTATGGATTATAAATAAATATTTTTGATTATAATTTGAAATATTTATATTGATTAATAATTACCAAATTTATGAATAAAAATGTCTCTCACATTGAATGTTTAATAAATAAATTAAGAAAAATTTGAAAATATGGTGCATAGTAAGATTTTTATTTTCATTTAAAAAATAATAATCCAAGACATTAAAGTTAATTAAAATTACAAATGTAAATTACACAAACTGACATCTTTACTCGACCTTTTTCACACTAAAAATTCATCTAAAACACACTGAGGTTTGACCTTTTATTTGAGATTATAACCTCAGTAAATTATGTAAAAGCCAAATGTCATTGATAATTGGATCATAAAATAAATCCAAGTACTAGTAACATTTTTTGTCTTTTACATAATTTACTAAGCTCATAGCTTCAAATAAAAGGTCAAACTTCAATGTGTTTTAGATGAGTTTCTGGTGTGAAGATACCAGCTTGGATAGTTTATGTTTGTGATTTTAATGATTTTTATTTTCATTTCTTCATATTATACATTTATGAATATGCTGATGACTATCAAAACACTATAAACCATAAACTAAACATTTAACTAATAACTAAAATTAATAAATTGTATTTAATACAATATTTTATTGTAATTAATGAAAAACAAAGTTTTCACATACCTAATACCTCAATTTGAACTTGTGCTTCATCATCACCAGAAGAATTTTCTGCTCTTATTATGTACACACCTGAATCTTTACGCTCAACAGAATGAATTACCAATTTAGTTCTGTATGGTTCTAACTCAATTCCTATTTGACCACCGTCTTTCAATACTTCTTTCTCTTTCATCCAAATTTTTTTCGGTGGAGGTTCACCAATTATTTTCACATCAAACTTAATACTTTGACCAGCATGAATAATTACGTTCATTAACCAATCACCCACTGTACATTCTTTTTCACATTTATATATTAAAATATAAAATAATAAACTTTAAATCATATAAATAAAAATAAAATACAAACTTAATCTAAATTATACCTAATACAACAACATCCACTTCAGCTTCATCTTTTCCATATTCATTAACTGCAGTTATCGTATAAGTGCCATTATGTTCTCGTTTTGCATTCCTCACAGTTAGCTTTGTATTATATTCTTCTATTACTAGTTTTACAGTCTCACTTTGTGTAACTTTTCTGCCTTTTAAAGTCCAGGTAATGGTTGGTGGTGGCTCACCAATTACGTTTACATCAAAATTGAATGACTGGCCAGCTCTAATTCGAACCTTGTGTAGATTTGTTCTATCAATTTTAGGAGCCACTGTATTTAAAAATAATAATATAAGTATAAAATAATTTTTAAAAAGTCTTTATTACATTTTAATTTAAAAACTAAAATGTAAAACATACATCGCCTTGGTTTTGCAACTATAGGAAGCGTTGCTTCACTAGGCTCTCCAGGGCCAGCTTTATTGACAGCTTTAACTCTGAATTCATATGCCTGACCTTGAATAAGATCAGGAACAGTTGCTTTAGTTTGATCACCTGGGACTTCAACAGCTTTTTCCCAATTGCCATATTTATCTTTCTTTTCAATGATGTAACTTGAGATTGGTGCACCACCATCACTTGCAGGTGGTGTCCATTTCAAATCAACATGATCTTTGTCCCAGTCAGTAGCTTCAGGTGTTCCCGGTTTACCAGGCTCATCTAAAAGTTTTAAAATTTAAATTTTGTAAGTAAACTTTACATTTGTAATTGAAAATAACAAAATATTAAATATCATTATAATTCATAAGGCTCAAAACAAAAAAATTTAACTATTTTTAATGCAAAATATATGTCTAAAATGACAGGAATAATTAGGTTCTTAACTATCTTTTAACTCATAATATCAATAAAGAATAAAACTATTCTATTAAATTCTGAAATCCTAAAAGCATCTATTATTATCATTTTAGTAATTATTACTTACCAAATGGATTCTTAGCAGTTATAGCTTTTTCTGTTTCAAGTGGTACTGATTCTCCTTCTTTATTCACAGCCATAACTCTGAATTTATAATCCTTGCCAGGAGTTAAGCCTGTTACTTCCATATCTTTATTTTAACATAATAAAAATTATTATTTTTTAATTTTAGTGAATGATTTAAGTTGTCTTAATTATTATCATAAATTAATTTACTTGGTTCTTTTGATGTGCCAACAGGAATCCATGTTCCAGTTTCTGGATCCATCTTTTCCACTTTATAACATTCAATTGGAGTACCACCATCATCTTTTGGTTTCTTCCATTTTAGTTTGCAACCTTCTTTATGTACATCGGATACTTCTAATGGTCCCTGAGGTGCAGTGGGTTTATCTATTTATAAATTAAATTTCAAAATAATATATTTTTAATTTTAAAATATAAATTAAAAAGAAAGAATAAAAATAATAATGATATATTTCAAATACCTAAAACTGTGACATTCACTGTTACAGAATCTTTTCCTGAGCTATTGGTTGCAGTAATTGTGTACTTTCCACTATCAATACGAGTTGTTTTGCGAATTGTTACTTTAGAATTATAATCAATATTTTCAATCTGAATATGGTCTGAAGCTCTTAAAGTAACATCATTTACAATCCAGGTAACAGTTGGAGGTGGTTCACCAATAATATTAACATCAAATTTAATTGATTGTCCAGTATTAATAGTTAGATCTCTGAGACATTTCCTATCAATCTGAGGTGCCACTAAAATTTAAAAAAATTTATATTTCAAATTATTCATAAAATATATGTTTTAATTGAAAAATGATTAAATTTATAACTACATACAATATCTTGGTTTTGCTATGATTGGTACTGATGCTTCACTGGGTTCACTCTGTCCAGCTTTATTAACTGCAATCACTCGGAATTCATATTCTTTTCCTTCAGTCAAAAAGGGAGCTGTTCCTTTACAAGAGTCACCTGGAACTTCAGCAGCTTTTTCCCAACGTGTTGCTAATTTTTCTTTCTTTTCAATAATATAATGGGTTATGGGTGCACCTCCATCTCTGTCTGGTGGTTTCCATTTTAAGTCAACTCTATCCTTATTCCAATCAGTTGCTTCTGGTTTACCAGGAGCACTTGGTGGATCTTTAAAATTAATTTATCATATTTAAATTCAATAAAATGTAACTGAAACAATAAATTCAAAATTCCAACAAATAGCAAAATAAAAATCTTACCATAAGGATCTTTAGCTAGAATTGGCGCCAAAGTTTCAAGTGGATCAGATTCTCCTTCCTTATTAACTGCTTTAACTCTAAATTTATATTGTTTTCCTGGTGTCAAACCTGTAACTTCCATTTCTGGTGAATAAACTTTTCCAACAGGTACCCAAGCACCTGTATCTGGATCTTGTTTTTCTACAAGATAACCTTCTAATGGTTCTCCACCATCATCTTTAGGCTTATTCCATTTCAACTTACAACCATTCTTGTTGATATCTGATACTTCTAATGGGCCTTCAGGCTTAGAAGGCTTTGCTATAATTGATAAAATTAAAATTTAGAATACCAATTTTTAAAAATTTAAAATATAAAAAGTTTTTATTTACCTAAAACAGTTACTTCTACATCTGCTTGGTCCTCTCCATAAGTATTTCTTGCTGTAATACGATATGTTCCATTATCTGAACGCTCTGCTTTATCACAAGTTAATTTTGTATTATAAGGAATATTTTGAATTGTTAATGTTAATCTTTCAACAACTGGTCTTTCCTTAATAGTCCAAGTAACTGAAGGAGGTGGCTCCCCAATGATTTTTACATCAAAGAAAAAGGATTGGCCATATTTTACTGTTACTGATCTTAAGTTACGTCTATCAATTCTTGGTGCCACTATAATAATAAAGATTTTTTGGTAGGTAAGTTATTTAAAAATAAAAAAAACTACATATTTCTTTATGCATATATATAATTTTTGATTTACATTTTCTTGGTTTTGCTGTGACAGGCTTTGAAGGATCACTTTCTTCTCCAGGGCCAGCAGCATTTATTGCTCTAACACGAAATTGATAAGTTTCTCCTTGAATTAAGTCATAAACACGTGCTTCACATTCTTTTCCATCAATCTGAGCAGCTTTTGTCCATACTGTAGTAGATTTTTCTTTTTTCTCAATAATATAACCTACTATTGGAGCACCTCCATCTTTAACTGGTGGCTGCCATTTCAAATCCACACGATCTTTATCCCAATCTTTAATTTCTGGAATACCAGGTTTTCCAGGGGCATCTAAAATAATTGTTATATTCTATTAAAGTTCACTGAATAAAATAGTCTTTAATTATTTATTTAAATTCAATAAAATGTAACTGAAACAATAAATTCAAAATTCCAACAAATAGCAAAATAAAAATCTTACCATAAGGATCTTTAGCTAGAATTGGCGCCAAAGTTTCAAGTGGATCAGATTCTCCTTCCTTATTAACTGCTTTAACTCTAAATTTATATTGTTTTCCTGGTGTCAAACCTGTAACTTCCATTTCTGGTGAATAAACTTTTCCAACAGGTACCCAAGCACCTGTATCTGGATCTTGTTTTTCTACAAGATAACCTTCTAATGGTTCTCCACCATCATCTTTAGGCTTATTCCATTTCAACTTACAACCATTCTTGTTGATATCTGATACTTCTAATGGGCCTTCAGGCTTAGAAGGCTTTGCTATAATTGATAAAATTAAAATTTAGAATACCAATTTTTAAAAATTTAAAATATAAAAAGTTTTTATTTACCTAAAACAGTTACTTCTACATCTGCTTGGTCCTCTCCATAAGTATTTCTTGCTGTAATACGATATGTTCCATTATCTGAACGCTCTGCTTTATCACAAGTTAATTTTGTATTATAAGGAATATTTTGAATTGTTAATGTTAATCTTTCAACAACTGGTCTTTCCTTAATAGTCCAAGTAACTGAAGGAGGTGGCTCCCCAATGATTTTTACATCAAAGAAAAAGGATTGGCCATATTTTACTGTTACTGATCTTAAGTTACGTCTATCAATTCTTGGTGCCACTATAATAATAAAGATTTTTTGGTAGGTAAGTTATTTAAAAATAAAAAAAACTACATATTTCTTTATGCATATATATAATTTTTGATTTACATTTTCTTGGTTTTGCTGTGACAGGCTTTGAAGGATCACTTTCTTCTCCAGGGCCAGCAGCATTTATTGCTCTAACACGAAATTGATAAGTTTCTCCTTGAATTAAGTCATAAACACGTGCTTCACATTCTTTTCCATCAATCTGAGCAGCTTTTGTCCATACTGTAGTAGATTTTTCTTTTTTCTCAATAATATAACCTACTATTGGAGCACCTCCATCTTTAACTGGTGGCTGCCATTTCAAATCCACACGATCTTTATCCCAATCTTTAATTTCTGGAATACCAGGTTTTCNCATTTTGATTAACTGAATTAAATTTTTAATTTGGAAAATTAAATACAATTTATATTTTTATATTTAATTTTACTCAAGATTCAATTGTCAGCAGATTGTTAAAGAAATTCCCTCTTTATGTTCTCATGAAAATGTACTAACTAAATCCCAAATACCACCAACAAGACTAACTAAATTATTAACTACAAAAAAGTTATTAGAAAATGTTGATAATTTTACATTTATTATAAATGATCCTCCAATAACAGTGATTCAAGCATACAACTGCAGATAGCCAAATTTGGCATAATTAACATATAATCACATTCAATAAAAATAATATTAAATTTAGAATTTTCAGTAAGTGATAATTTATATTGTTTTATTTTAAACTTAATATTTACCTCATTTTATCTCTCTTTTCAATAACATAACCTGTAATTGGTGATCCACCATCTGAATCAGGTGCTTTCCACTTCAGTTTAACAAAATCTTTATCATAATCATCAATTTCAGGAGTTCCAGGTTTTCCAGGTTGGTCTGTATTTATAAATTATATATTTAATAATTCAATTTTATTTATTATTTATTTATTTGTTTTATTTATTTTCAATAGAAAATTACCAAATGGATTTTTAGCTAATATTGCTTTATCAGCTTCCAGTGGTTCTGATTCACCTTGACGATTAGCTGCCCTAACACGGAATTTGTAATTTTTACCAGGCTGTAGACCTTTTACCTGTTGCAATTTTAAAGTTAAATTATCAATATATACTTAACAATATTTATAATGAAAGCATTTGTATTAATAAATGGAAATTTTTTGAAAAACGCTATTAATAGAAGATTTAGAATTCTCTATCAATAAAATAGCAAAACTTTGTTTTTTGTTAATATATGTTTTGCATTAAAATACGTAGGAAAAAATATAATTTGTTTAGTCATTTAGAACTAAATGTAATAATTTATTTTTACTATTTATTTATATTAAAAATGACTTATTTTTTTATATGCACCATTTTAAAAAATTAATTTCTAAACTAATTGCTATATTTATGATATTAACAAGCTAGAAATGAAAAAACAATTTGTTATTTATATAATGTGATAACTTATATTTTTAACATTATTGATTATGGACATAAAATATGTTGTGAATATACATTTTGTTGTGACTAAAGGAAATTATCCATTGTGTCATTGTATCTTCCTCACTAAAATATTTGCATGTTAGCAAACATCAAATAACTGATTTTTGAATTGGTTAGTATATTACACACCATATAAAACTGATCTAAGACATTTTTCAATTTAGATGAAATTTCTCATCTCTGACTGGGAATATATTCAGAGATGATATATTTTACAATATACTGCATAGAAGGCTGAAACTAGTCCTTCATACATACATACATATATATATATATATATATATATCTTACTAGAACTTTGTATTAATTGACTGTAATACTAGAAATAGATTAAAAATTTTTTTAATTTTTAAAATATAAAATATCACAAAGCTACAAATATTGAATTAACTTCATTTTCCTTTTTTGTTGTTACAAAATTGAAAATTTTTGTTAATTTTTCCATTTTTCTTAAAGCCTTGAATCCTTTTGAAGCTAACAGAGTCATAGCAAACTTTTAGCTTATCAACTCAAACAAGATAGAAGTTATGCACATACTATTATTCTTATAAATTATTGAAAATCATTCCTTAGTCAGGATATATATTTTCTTTAACTTTTTCTTTCTTTTTTTATCTTTTTTAAGTTAAATTATAGTGATGTTTTATTGTTTGTATTATTGCTGTACATTTCAGTAAAACTGTGCATAATACTCCTTATTTTTATACAAATTAAATAAATGAATGAATTTTTTAGTCAAATTGTACTAAATTTGTTTTCACATAAATCTTACTACACTAACACAATCAGGAACAAAAATTTTATTATAATAAAAAGACATTAATTCTATCTGAATGTTATCACCAATTATTTATTAAATATCTTTAATAAATAACATATGATAATTAATTTATATTATATGTAAAATATAAATTATTGTTATTTTAAAAATTTGATAAGAAGTCCATTTATTTTGAAATTTTATTATAATTTTTTAGAGTTCAATTTTTCTTTTGCTTTTTAAATATTTTATTGAAAATGTTTTTATTGTTTTAATGTTATTTATTTCTTCTTTCCTATTTCTAAAAATATTTTTTCATCCTTAAAAATAAAAAACTAAAAAAAGCATTGTGAAGTTTATATATATATAGCTAATAATTAATCTGATGTCATCTTACATTTACAGTTCATACTTACTTTCATTGTAGTCTCTGGACCAATTGTTTCTCCAGCTGGAACCCATATACCTGTCTTGGGATCCATTTTTTCTATTACATAATGATCAATTGGAATACCTCCATCATCACTAGGAGGATTCCAATTTAGAGTGCACCCTTCAGCATGAATATCATCTATTTTTAATGGACCATTTGGTGCAGTAGGTTTATCTAAAGAAAAATGAAACAAAATGATTTAAAAATTCCTATTCTTTAATATTAAAAGAAATTACNTTAGGCTTATTCCATTTCAACTTACAACCATTCTTGTTGATATCTGATACTTCTAATGGGCCTTCAGGCTTAGAAGGCTTTGCTATAATTGATAAAATTAAAATTTAGAATACCAATTTTTAAAAATTTAAAATATAAAAAGTTTTTATTTACCTAAAACAGTTACTTCTACATCTGCTTGGTCCTCTCCATAAGTATTTCTTGCTGTAATACGATATGTTCCATTATCTGAACGCTCTGCTTTATCACAAGTTAATTTTGTATTATAAGGAATATTTTGAATTGTTAATGTTAATCTTTCAACAACTGGTCTTTCCTTAATAGTCCAAGTAACTGAAGGAGGTGGCTCCCCAATGATTTTTACATCAAAGAAAAAGGATTGGCCATATTTTACTGTTACTGATCTTAAGTTACGTCTATCAATTCTTGGTGCCACTATAATAATAAAGATTTTTTGGTAGGTAAGTTATTTAAAAATAAAAAAAACTACATATTTCTTTATGCATATATATAATTTTTGATTTACATTTTCTTGGTTTTGCTGTGACAGGCTTTGAAGGATCACTTTCTTCTCCAGGGCCAGCAGCATTTATTGCTCTAACACGAAATTGATAAGTTTCTCCTTGAATTAAGTCATAAACACGTGCTTCACATTCTTTTCCATCAATCTGACCAGCTTTTGTCCATACTGTAGTAGATTTTTCTTTTTTCTCAATAATATAACCTACTATTGGAGCACCTCCATCTTTAACTGGTGGCTGCCATTTCAAATCCACACGATCTTTATCCCAATCTTTAATTTCTGGAATACCAGGTTTTCCAGGGGCATCTAAAATAATTGTTATATTCTATTAAAGTTCACTGAATAAAATAGTCTTTAATTATTTATTTAAATTCAATAATCTATACATCAAGTATAAATTTATTAATTACAGTTTTACTTAAAATTTACTGTGCAAATACAAAAATTTTTGAAATAGTATATACTGTCTTATATAATTTACAGAGTTATTATATACAATATGATCATGAAATTTCAGATTCAATAACATAAACTATATATATTCTATAACTGAAAAGTTTTTTCAGTTATGAAAGTTGAGTTTTATGCCAACTTATAAAATGTTCATAACAATAATATTACTTTTATTATGAATAGAAAAAAATTAAATGATACTTTTAATGGTAAAATTTTAATTCATCATTGATTATATTTTCATTTAAAAAGTTTTATTTTTTACATATCAATATGAAATGGGCTCTATATTTTAATACTAGAGAAATTTTTATGTCAATCAATTAATTCTTTCATAACTGTTCCTTTGAATGAGAGTTTTTATATAAAGTAGTTTTGAAATTAAAAGTGACTTTTCATATAATACATATTATTATTCTTTCTATTATTACATTCTAAAACTATCCCTTTTTAAATAGAATTTATATTCAAGATTATATTTATTGTTCTTGAATGTTCTGCAATCTATTTACAACTTCTCTGCTACAGATTTTTGTACTTAAATGTAATATAGAATTATACTATAAATGTAGCAATGAGACTGAGCAGTGTTAATAATTTTATAAATCTTGCTTTTAATGTCAATCTTAAGTTTCATTTTCTTTTGCACAGTTTAAAGTTATTATATGTTGTAAATAATTCATAGTTCAATCCTTAATTATATTTGTTATGAAGATTTTACTGAACTTTATTTTTGTTATCTGAATGGTAATTATTCAATCTAATTAAATATATATTACAACAAAAAATAACAAAAATCTAACTCCATAATATGACCAATCTCAAATAATCTTTCTATTTGAACTGGAGTTCATAAAAAACAAAATCATTAAAACTGACTAAGTGCTTTCAGACTTTTTTATCCATTCTTTGAGTCTCTATTGTTCAAAAATGATCTTTTCAAACTCTTATTTGAGCATATCTTCTTTTTTTGAAACATATCTGCCAGAATGTAAATTTTAACACAATGTCTTTTCATTCTAGAATAACATTCATTCAACTCAAACTATCCTTATATTCTTCAGTTCTCTTTTATTTTTTTTTACCATCCATTTCCATACAATTGATAAAATGTCTACATCTTTGATATCAAAACTTCCTTGGTTATATTTTGTTTGTAAATTTTTAATTTTTTGGCTATGCATATGTTCTCATCATCATCCACCAGTAACATCACTTTTGCCCTATCAAATTCCACCTTCAACTCTCTATTTTATGCTTCACTGCTAAGTTCCATGATCTCCACTCTCACCTTATATTTTCACAATGCTCCATTATCTGTTTTGCTAAATTTGTTCACATCACTCTAATGTAAAACTGTTTATGCTTCTTCCATCTACTAATGGTATCCTGTACATCCCACTCTACTCTGTTACATATGTTTATCTTACAGAACTGAATAGTGTTCTAGTTCTCTTAAATACTATTGTCCTACCAATCTCTCCTCCTACCTTCTATTCTTGCTTTGCTGCTCAACATAATGAATCAATATACTTCTATCCTTTCTTCCTTCCTCTCTCCTTCTTATCTGTGTGTTCTGTTGCAAATTTTTTACAATCCTCCTTATTTCCTATCCTTCCCTTAGTACCTCCATATAATGCAGGTACTAAGTATGGAAATGGATGATAAAAAGAATAAAGAGCAGAAGAGAGAACAGAAGAATATAGAAATAGTTTCAGTTGAATGAATGTTTTCTAGAATGAAAAGACATTGTGTTTAAATTTAAGTTCTGGCAGATGCTTTCTGAAATAAGATGCGTTCCAAATAAGATTTGTTCAAATAGGAGTTTGAAAAGATCATTTTTAGTGATACAAACTCAGAAGATAAATAAAAAAAGTCTGAAAGCACTTAATCAGTTTGATGATTTTGTTTTTTTATGAACTACAGTTCTAGCAATAAAAGTAATATGAAATAAGAAAAAGTACAAATTTATTTTAAAACTCATTATTATGTTGTCATAATTATTTAAATCTCAAAATAGTAAGTTGAAATATGAATAAACTGGCATATTACAGTGTATACTAAATTATATGTGGCAGTACTATTGGGTATGTTATGTAAACTATTAATATTAATATTTTATTGAAGATGTTGATTTTGAATTGAATATGTTAACTGATAGATCTGATGTGTAATAGAATTCCTAACAAGATAATTTACAGATTTTTAGTGACTATTTGGTGTCCTATAACTATACAGCAGATCCTGTTAGCACATCTCTATATATATATATACACACCTCATACAAATGTATATATATCATATAGAAGAAGATATATAGTGTCTCAATGAATCAATGAAAGTAGTATGATGGCCTTATTATACATTTCTGCCATAGGCTTACTATGTACTATAATCATATGTTTGTTCTATCCTACTGGTAATCTACCATATACAGTCAATTCTGTTTAATTGGGCCACTGGTTAATCGGGTCAGCCACTTTATTGGCCAAATCTCCAAACTAATAAATTAATACATAATTTAATCGCTTAATTGGGAAAGTAGCAGAAAAGGAATTTAGCAATTTTTGATATATTTTAGGGATCTTCCGAAAATATGTAGACACTACATACACTAATGTTGTATAGGCCTAATGGTTGGCAGAGACAAAGTGATTTTGTCTTTTGTTTGGGCAGTTTGGTTTTTCCAGAGGTCAGCACAGCGGGACATATCACATGAGGATCTCATCTGAGGCGGATCGAATAGAGCTACTGACCCTTCTCTGGATTGGACCAGACAATCCCCTTAAAAGCAAAGGGACAGATCCCCAGACAATTTTTTGAGGTCTCTCAACCAAGTTGAAGACAGCTAGATTTTCCTTCTAAGGTATTGTGTGCATGATTATGTCTAGATTTGGACAGCAGCCATCCAATCATCAAGACCAGATCAAGAGCTGGCGGATTCTACAGACACTCCTGCCGAAGTGGCCCATCTCCAAGTAAAGGAAACTGTGCTCAAAAGAAGACTGTTTAGTTAGAACATGTTCTAACTAAAAAAAGAGAAAGGAAAAATCGTTCAATCAGGAATGAATCGAATGGTCAGCACACATGTACATCACTACTATACTGTATTTGGCAACACTAGTGTGATGCGAATCAGTTAACTATCGTCATGAGTCTGGCAAATTTATAGTACAAATATTTTCTGTTTTTTGGTTTAATAAAGCATTAAAATAGGTACCTTACTTATTTATTTACCTACATATTTTAGAATTTATTATTAATTCGTTTAATTGGGCAAAAATGGATTAGTCTCAACATGTCCCAATTAACTGGAATTGACTATATTTCAGGCCAACTTATACAGTATAGACCTAAATCAGAATTTTGAGCTTTACATTAATATTTTACAATCGAAAAAAAAAGAATTTATATTCAAGATTATATTTATTGTTCTTGAATGTTCTGCAATCTATTTACAACTTCTCTGCTACAGATTTTTGTACTTAAATGTAATATAGAATTATACTATAAATGTAGCAATGAGACTGAGCAGTGTTAATAATTTTATAAATCTTGCTTTTAATGTCAATCTTAAGTTTCATTTTCTTTTGCACAGTTTAAAGTTATTATATGTTGTAAATAATTCATAGTTCAATCCTTAATTATATTTGTTATGAAGATTTTACTGAACTTTATTTTTGTTATCTGAATGGTAATTATTCAATCTAATTAAATATATATTACAACAAAAAATAACAAAAATCTAACTCCATAATATGACCAATCTCAAATAATCTTTCTATTTGAACTGGAGTTCATAAAAAACAAAATCATTAAAACTGACTAAGTGCTTTCAGACTTTTTTATCCATTCTTTGAGTCTCTATTGTTCAAAAATGATCTTTTCAAACTCTTATTTGAGCATATCTTCTTTTTTTGAAACATATCTGCCAGAATGTAAATTTTAACACAATGTCTTTTCATTCTAGAATAACATTCATTCAACTCAAACTATCTTTATATTCTTCAGTTCTCTTTTATTTTTTTTTACCATCCATTTCCATACAATTGATAAAATGTCTACATCTTTGATATCAAAACTTCCTTGGTTATATTTTGTTTGTAAATTTTTAATTTTTTGGCTATGCATATGTTCTCATCATCATCCACCAGTAACATCACTTTTGCCCTATCAAATTCCACCTTCAACTCTCTATTTTATGCTTCACTGCTAAGTTCCATGATCTCCACTCTCACCTTATATTTTCACAATGCTCCATTATCTGTTTTGCTAAATTTGTTCACATCACTCTAATGTAAAACTGTTTATGCTTCTTCCATCTACTAATGGTATCCTGTACATCCCACTCTACTCTGTTACATATGTTTATCTTACAGAACTGAATAGTGTTCTAGTTCTCTTAAATACTATTGTCCTACCAATCTCTCCTCCTACCTTCTATTCTTGCTTTGCTGCTCAACATAATGAATCAATATACTTCTATCCTTTCTTCCTTCCTCTCTCCTTCTTATCTGTGTGTTCTGTTGCAAATTTTTTACAATCCTCCTTATTTCCTATCCTTCCCTTAGTACCTCCATATAATGCAGGTACTAAGTATGGAAATGGATGATAAAAAGAATAAAGAGCAGAAGAGAGAACAGAAGAATATAGAAATAGTTTCAGTTGAATGAATGTTTTCTAGAATGAAAAGACATTGTGTTTAAATTTAAGTTCTGGCAGATGCTTTCTGAAATAAGATGCGTTCCAAATAAGATTTGTTCAAATAGGAGTTTGAAAAGATCATTTTTAGTGATACAAACTCAGAAGATAAATAAAAAAAGTCTGAAAGCACTTAATCAGTTTGATGATTTTGTTTTTTTATGAACTACAGTTCTAGCAATAAAAGTAATATGAAATAAGAAAAAGTACAAATTTATTTTAAAACTCATTATTATGTTGTCATAATTATTTAAATCTCAAAATAGTAAGTTGAAATATGAATAAACTGGCATATTACAGTGTATACTAAATTATATGTGGCAGTACTATTGGGTATGTTATGTAAACTATTAATATTAATATTTTATTGAAGATGTTGATTTTGAATTGAATATGTTAACTGATAGATCTGATGTGTAATAGAATTCCTAACAAGATAATTTACAGATTTTTAGTGACTATTTGGTGTCCTATAACTATACAGCAGATCCTGTTAGCACATCTCTATATATATATATACACACCTCATACAAATGTATATATATCATATAGAAGAAGATATATAGTGTCTCAATGAATCAATGAAAGTAGTATGATGGCCTTATTATACATTTCTGCCATAGGCTTACTATGTACTATAATCATATGTTTGTTCTATCCTACTGGTAATCTACCATATACAGTCAATTCTGTTTAATTGGGCCACTGGTTAATCGGGTCAGCCACTTTATTGGCCAAATCTCCAAACTAATAAATTAATACATAATTTAATCGCTTAATTGGGAAAGTAGCAGAAAAGGAATTTAGCAATTTTTGATATATTTTAGGGATCTTCCGAAAATATGTAGACACTACATACACTAATGTTGTATAGGCCTAATGGTTGGCAGAGACAAAGTGATTTTGTCTTTTGTTTGGGCAGTTTGGTTTTTCCAGAGGTCAGCACAGCGGGACATATCACATGAGGATCTCATCTGAGGCGGATCGAATAGAGCTACTGACCCTTCTCTGGATTGGACCAGACAATCCCCTTAAAAGCAAAGGGACAGATCCCCAGACAATTTTTTGAGGTCTCTCAACCAAGTTGAAGACAGCTAGATTTTCCTTCTAAGGTATTGTGTGCATGATTATGTCTAGATTTGGACAGCAGCCATCCAATCATCAAGACCAGATCAAGAGCTGGCGGATTCTACAGACACTCCTGCCGAAGTGGCCCATCTCCAAGTAAAGGAAACTGTGCTCAAAAGAAGACTGTTTAGTTAGAACATGTTCTAACTAAAAAAAGAGAAAGGAAAAATCGTTCAATCAGGAATGAATCGAATGGTCAGCACACATGTACATCACTACTATACTGTATTTGGCAACACTAGTGTGATGCGAATCAGTTAACTATCGTCATGAGTCTGGCAAATTTATAGTACAAATATTTTCTGTTTTTTGGTTTAATAAAGCATTAAAATAGGTACCTTACTTATTTATTTACCTACATATTTTAGAATTTATTATTAATTCGTTTAATTGGGCAAAAATGGATTAGTCTCAACATGTCCCAATTAACTGGAATTGACTATATTTCAGGCCAACTTATACAGTATAGACCTAAATCAGAATTTTGAGCTTTACATTAATATTTTACAATCGAAAAAAAAAAGTTTGNAACAAACAATTATTATTAATTTTATTAATGTCTTTGTAAAGGTTTAAAATTTGTGAAATTTAATAATGTGGAGTCACAATTATTATTCTTATATTCGAATTTCAAAGTCATTATTGTCAGTTAAATGAATACGAAAGAGCCTTTTAGTTCCCCCTTTTCTAGCTATGTTTAATTAATTTTTTTTATGAATGTAATATCGAATATTGGCTTAAGTAATGAATTTTTTAAAATAATTTCAAAAAATCATTGCAAATATTACAGAAATTCTTCTTTAAATTAAGCAATGTTTAGTAAAATATAAATATATGTATGTTGGAAATTTTAGACTTTTAACTGTTTACAAGCTTTTGCTTTTACTAAGTTTTTATATTTTAGCCATTTGGATAAGTATTACAAAATTATATATAAAAGACATGCAATATTTAATGAATCTGCAAGTGATTATTAAAACTATTTATAAAATCAACAGATCAAATTAGTAAAAGTACAAAGTTGCAAAAGAAAAAACAAAACAGATTTCAATTGCTTTAATAGAGTTATCCAACTAAAATAATGAGTAGATCATGCTTAATGTTTTTGAGCAAATGAGATAATTTTCAGAGATAATTCAATAAAATGACTATATATAACATACTTCATAAATATAACCATTTCATTCAATACAATGTCCTATCTGCTTGAAAACATTATCATCAATTTCATTATTTTTTAATTTGATAACTTTGATATTTTACAAACAAATTATTTAGTTTTAAAAAACAGGGTCAAATTACTTAATTGGATTCTATTTTTTACAACTAAACAATTTTTAATTCTTAAGATTGCCAATAATTTATTACCATATGGATTCTTAGCAATAATTGGTTTATCAGCCTCTAATGGATCAGATTCTCCTTCTGCATTGACTGCTCTTACTCTGAATTTATATTCTTGGCCTAAAACAAAAAAATAATTATTAAATATACTCTTTATCTGAACTTTATATATTGTATACTTTCATTTAATAAAGTATAAGTTCATAAATTTAAATAAGGCTAAGACATATATATTTATATGAAAATACTTCTATACCAGGTTCAAGGTTATTAACATCCATCTCTGGTTTAGTAGTGCGACCTACAGGCACCCAACGACCTGTTGATGTATCCATTCTTTCCACAGCATAATGTTCAATAGGTACACCACCATCATCTTCAGGAGGTTTCCATTTCAATTTACAGCCTTCTGCATGTATACCACTTATTTCTAGAGGACCAGTAGGATGAGATGGTCTGTCTGAAACATGGTAATTTAGAATTAAATTACAATGATTTTCATTAATTTTAAATAATTTACGTGAAAAATATTCAAGAATAAATTTTGAAACAAATATATTTAATAAAAAGTTTTTAAAATAAATCCATTTAAAAAAAAAAAGATTAATTTAAGATTAACAGAAGATTTATTTTTAAATTTAATAAACAATGAGAAATCATTAAAGAAACTTCATCAAATATAATTTTTTGCTGAATAGAATTTCTAATATAAAAAAAAAATGAATGATATCATTCATAAAGTGTAATTAAATGAGGAGTTAAAAATAAGTTCTTAAATTATTTAATTTAATTAAAAATTTCTTTATATTTATGGATTATAAATAAATATTTTTGATTATAATTTGAAATATTTATATTGATTAATAATTACCAAATTTATGAATAAAAATGTCTCTCACATTGAATGTTTAATAAATAAATTAAGAAAAATTTGAAAATATGGTGCATAGTAAGATTTTTATTTTCATTTAAAAAATAATAATCCAAGACATTAAAGTTAATTAAAATTACAAATGTAAATTACACAAACTGACATCTTTACTCGACCTTTTTCACACTAAAAATTCATCTAAAACACACTGAGGTTTGACCTTTTATTTGAGATTATAACCTCAGTAAATTATGTAAAAGCCAAATGTCATTGATAATTGGATCATAAAATAAATCCAAGTACTAGTAACATTTTTTGTCTTTTACATAATTTACTAAGCTCATAGCTTCAAATAAAAGGTCAAACTTCAATGTGTTTTAGATGAGTTTCTGGTGTGAAGATACCAGCTTGGATAGTTTATGTTTGTGATTTTAATGATTTTTATTTTCATTTCTTCATATTATACATTTATGAATATGCTGATGACTATCAAAACACTATAAACCATAAACTAAACATTTAACTAATAACTAAAATTAATAAATTGTATTTAATACAATATTTTATTGTAATTAATGAAAAACAAAGTTTTCACATACCTAATACCTCAATTTGAACTTGTGCTTCATCATCACCAGAAGAATTTTCTGCTCTTATTATGTACACACCTGAATCTTTACGCTCAACAGAATGAATTACCAATTTAGTTCTGTATGGTTCTAACTCAATTCCTATTTGACCACCGTCTTTCAATACTTCTTTCTCTTTCATCCAAATTTTTTTCGGTGGAGGTTCACCAATTATTTTCACATCAAACTTAATACTTTGACCAGCATGAATAATTACATCTTTCAATGTTGATCTATCAATTTTTGGAGCCACTGTTACCAGAAAACAAAATTTTTTTATTATAACTTGCACATTAGATGTCCAAAAAAATTTTTTAAAATAAATTTTACTTACAGAATCTAGTTTTAGCAACAATTACATCACTAGCATCACTGGGATTACTAGGTCCAGCTTTATTAACAGCTTTTACACGGAACTGATATTCCATACCTTCAATGAGATCTGGCACTCTAGCTTCACATTTATCACCAATTATTTCAATTGCTTTTTGCCATTTTGTACTATATTTATCTTTCTTTTCAATAATATAACTTGTAATTGGTGATCCTCCATCAGTTTGAGGTGCATGCCATGTAAGATCAACATGATGTCTATCCCAATCTTTAGCAGATGGTTTTCCAGGTTTACCAGGCTCATCTAGATAAATTTTAAAATTTTATATATCATGTGAAATCTATAATACATTTATTGAATAAAATTGTTTTAATATAAAATCTTCTTACCAAATGGATTTTTAGCTAGTGTTGGTACATCTGTTTCTAAGGGTTCTGATTCTCCTTCTGGATTAACAGCTCTAACACGGAATTTATATTCTTTGCCTGGTGTTAAACCAGTAATTTCTGCTTCTGGTTCTCTTGTAGTTGTAACAGGAACCCATCTGCCAGTTTCCATATCCATTTTTTCCACAACATACTGTTGAACAGGTTCTCCTCCATCATCTTCTGGTTTATCCCACTTAAGTTTGCACCCTTCAGCATGAACATCAGACACTTTTAATGGACCTTTTGGTTTGGATGGTTTACCTAATGAATATAATTAAAATTTGGTCAATATAAAATTTAAGTACAATAATTCATTTTCCATTTTAATTTCTTACTTAAAACTTTTATTTCAATAGTCACTTCATCCTTTCCAGAGTCATTAGTAGCAGTGATAGTGTATTTTCCTGATTCTTTCCTTTTTGCTCTTGAAAGAAAGAAAACAGTGCGATAATCTTCCACTTGGATTTTTAATCTATCTGTATCTTTCAATTTTTCTTCTTTGAATGACCATACTATAGCTGGAGGAGGTTCTCCTTTTACATCAACATCAAATCTGACTGACTGACCAACTTTAATTACTGTATCTTTTAAATTTGTTCGATCAATATATGGCGCCACTAAAATTATACATATTGATTATTAAGTATCATTTTAAAATTTATTGATTTATATAAAACTTTCATATTAACTTACAAAATCGTGGTTTGGCAACTACAGATCGTGATGGTTCACTTGGCTCACTAACACCACCTTTGTTAACAGCTTTAACACGGAATTCATACTCTTCACCTTCTTCAAGATCTGACACAGTTCCTGATGTTCTATCTCCTGGTACTTGTTTAGCTTTCTGCCATTTATGAGAGCCTTTTTTACGTTTCTCAATGATATAAGCAGTAACTGGTGATCCACCATCTTTTTCTGGAGGTGCCCATTTAAGATCAACATGATCTTTATCCCAATCAGTTGGTTCAGGCCGACCTGGTTTACTTGGCTCATCTAAATAGAATTATATTAATAAAAATATTAATTTCTTGCTTTCTTATATATAATGAATTTTAATAAATAAATTAAGAAAAATTTGAAAATATGGTGCATAGTAAGATTTTTATTTTCATTTAAAAAATAATAATCCAAGACATTAAAGTTAATTAAAATTACAAATGTAAATTACACAAACTGACATCTTTACTCGACCTTTTTCACACTAAAAATTCATCTAAAACACACTGAGGTTTGACCTTTTATTTGAGATTATAACCTCAGTAAATTATGTAAAAGCCAAATGTCATTGATAATTGGATCATAAAATAAATCCAAGTACTAGTAACATTTTTTGTCTTTTACATAATTTACTAAGCTCATAGCTTCAAATAAAAGGTCAAACTTCAATGTGTTTTAGATGAGTTTCTGGTGTGAAGATACCANAATTTTTAAACTTTTTCCTTAATCTAGTATTTTATTCTGCATTAGATAAAATAAGAAATATGGCAATGAAATTATCATTTTATAAAAAATTCATCTCTTCAGCTTTTGGTTAGAAATACTGATTTACTTTTCTCCTATTGTAAAATACATATTATAAACAACAATCCACAAAACTTTTTTATAACAGTGTTGTGTTTGTAACAATCTTCACAAACATTTTCGACCTCCTCCACATATTATAAAAATGTATATATAAAACTATTTCAGTTTTTGATTAAAAAATTGAAATAGTTAAAGCACTGGAGAAAAAGAATCTATATCTTTAATAATAAATAGAAACATTGTTCCTTATAAAAATAAAATCTACAATAATTTAATGCTGTATCATAAGATTACCTCGACATCATTTTTTAAATAATTTTTTTGACAAGAAACCAGGACTTTTCAACTCCTAAAAATATTACAAAATACTGGTTACAAATTACATGGTGCAGCACCAAAATCCAGACAAAATTCAATTTCAAATTCCCGCCATTCTATACCATTGGTAGATGTCATGTTTAGCATTCAAATATCTTGACACATGTACTAAACCATCATAACCTCAAAACAGTCGCAATGTTGAAACCAAGTGTGAAGTATAACTGAAAAGCCACAATTATCAAAAGTGTTTGTGCTGGTCACTTGGTAACAAAAATCATTTGGTTCATTTGGTTCTTCAAGTACTCGAGATCGACTGTGTATGATGTTGTCACAAAGTACTGTACAATGAGTCAGACAAGTCCAATGAAGGTTTTACAACCCCAGTGGGGAAAACTCACTCAAAGGAGTGCATTGTCAGGATGCATGAAATCATTCAATGAGCTCAGGAGCTGATTTTTGAGGATCCAGGACAGTCTATCTGAAAATTGTCATCGGTTATTGGTGTGAGCAAGAAAACTATGTGAAGAATCGTCGAGGAGGACCGCTGCTACAAGTCTTACACAATTAAAGTGAGTCATTTGGTGCAAAATTGGTTGTCGGACAACGTCGACATGTTTTGGTCAAAAGAATTCTGGCCTCCCAACAGCCCAGATTTTGAATCCTTTGGACTTCTATGTATGGAGCATAGTTGAAAGGGTCATGAACAAGTCCAGACATCCAAACATTGCATCATTGAGAGCTGCTATTGATGCAGCATTTGCTGATATGGACTGTGACATATTAAAGCACACCTGTGCACGCTTCAGACCAAGAATGGAGGCGGTCATTCAAGCAGGAGGGGGATATATTGAGTAAATGTATTCTTTATGGCCTTACAAACAATGTGGTTAAAAAAAAATTTGTAAACCTTTTCGCTTTTTGCAATAAAAAATATGTTTGGAAAAAATGTGTAATTTGTCTGGATTTTGGCACCGCACCCTGTANTTCTTTTATATTTATTACTATTCTATTACCTCAATAAAATAATTTATAATTAAAAAATTTTGATAGTATTTATTGAGGAATATATAAAATCAAATATGTTATTTGAACTATCATGTAGATATTATTTTGTGCAGTTTCCCATCCCAATGGCCACATCTCTATTATTTGTATTTAATCATTGAACAGACAAATTTTAAAATAAAACAGAAATATTAACCTTCTTAAAATATAGTTTTATTTTATATTTACTTTATGTAAATTGTTGCATTTAAACTAGGATCCTGACTCTAAAATGTACCAAATGAAATTCTTGTATTTTAATTTAACAAAACTTACTCTGTTAAAAGCATTTAAAGTTATTTAAAATTATCTTTTCTAAAAATTTTAAATTATTTAAGAAAACAAAGAATATTAAACATACCAAATGGATTTTTAGCAAGTATTGCTTCTTCAGTTTCCAATTCCTCAGAATCTCCTTCTTTATTCACTGCTCTTACACGGAACTTGTATTTCTTTCCAGGAGTCAAATTTGTAACTTCACATTTGGGTTCTGTTGATTTCCCAGCTGGAACCCATACACCTGTATCTTCATCCATTTTTTCAATTTCATAGTATTGTACAGGAAGGCCTCCATCATCTTCTGGTTCTTTCCATTTCAATGAACAACCTTCTTTATGAACATCTGACACTTCCAATGGGCCTCTAGGTTTACTTGGCTTGCCTATAAGTCAAATATGACAATTTGATTTAAACACTTTAACATTTGTTATTTAAATAAGCTTTAAATTATTACTAACCAAGAACTGTTATTATAACTCCTGCCTCATCTGTGCCAGAACTATTAGTTGCAGTAATAACATATGTACCACTTTCTTTTCGTGTTGCTCTCATCAGATAGAATTTAGAGTTGTAATCAACATTATCAACACGATATACAACACCAGTTTCTATAGTCTCATTTTTGAATTTCCAAGTGACTGTTGGTGGTGGTTCACCAATGATATTAACATCAAAGCTAATAGTCAAACCAGCTTTTATTGTCATATCTTTCAAATTAGTTCTGTCAATTCTAGGTTTCACTAAAAAAAAAAAATTTATTTAATCTGTGTTTAACTTGTTTATTATGTAATTTAAAACAACATTAAAAGTGTCTTACAGAATCTTGGTTTAGCAGTGTGAGGTGAGGTTCCTTCACTAGGTACACCAGGACCAGCTCTATTTACAGCTCTCACACGGAATTCATATTTTTCACCTTCAGTTAATCCTGAAACTTTACCTTCAGGAATGTCACCTCTGATCTCTGCAGCTGGAACCCAATCTGAACTATAGCGATCTTTTTTCTCAATAATATAACCAGATATAGGATCACCACCATCTCGAATTGGTTTATCCCACTTTAATTTGACAAAATTTGAATCGTAATCAATAATTTCTGGAAGACCTGGTGGTCCAGGTTCATCTATAATATAATAAATGTTAAAATTTATTTTAGATAATTATTATTTTGATATTTATTTTCAAAATTTAAATACTAAATAATTCATATATTTTCAAAATAAAGAATCTATTTAAAAAAAAAAAATTGTTTTCTCTAACATTACAAAATTTATTTAAAACTTGAAATTACATTATAAAAGTTTTTATTTTAAATTAAAACAATTATATAAAGATGAATACATACATATATATATATATTCTATACTACATAACAACATATATAGTATAAAAAAAAAATTAAAAAGTAAGCTATGCCTATTAAGTAATTCTTAAGTAAGTTTTCTATTTTTATATAAAAGTTCAATTTTTAAACAAATTAGACAAAACAAACAAACAAAAATAAACAAAAACAAATTTAAACCACATTATTCTACTATATACAAATAATGAAGACTGTAAGTTTAAAAATTAAAAGATATGTATTTATATTATCACTTACCATATGGATTTTTGGCAAGAGTAGGTTTGTCTGATTCTAAAGGCTCAGAATCCCCTTCAGCATTTTGAGCCTTAACACGGAAATGATATCTTTTTCCAGGTTCCAGATCATTTACTGTTAATTGTTGAGTATCTTTGTCTGTTTTACCAACAGGTACCCAACGTCCTGTAAGAGTGTCAAGTTTTTCAACAACATAACCAGTAAGTGGTAATCCTCCATCATCTTTTGGTTTCTCCCATTTTATTGTTGCTCCTTCTGCATGAACATCAGTAACTTCTAATGGACCTTCTGGTCTTGAAGGCTTATCTAAATTTTAAATACACAAATTATTATTATATATTAAATAAATAATTAACAGTGAATTATCATCGATAATCAGTAATATTATAGTATTGAAACTTTCAATAGTAGCTTGGTTAATGTAGACAGAAAATCATGTAAATTTTACAAATGCTATTTCAAAAAAATTCTTTCTCAAGCTTTCACTACTACAAATTTTTTTCATTAAAAATTAAAAAAAATATCACTGTTTGATGATCTAATATTCAATTATTGTATTTAAAAAAATCTACTTAAAATTTTAGATATAAATTTATAAAAATAATTTCTTTTATATTTATTACTATTCTATTACCTCAATAAAATAATTTATAATTAAAAAATTTTGATAGTATTTATTGAGGAATATATAAAATCAAATATGTTATTTGAACTATCATGTAGATATTATTTTGTGCAGTTTCCCATCCCAATGGCCACATCTCTATTATTTGTATTTAATCATTGAACAGACAAATTTTAAAATAAAACAGAAATATTAACCTTCTTAAAATATAGTTTTATTTTATATTTACTTTATGTAAATTGTTGCATTTAAACTAGGATCCTGACTCTAAAATGTACCAAATGAAATTCTTGTATTTTAATTTAACAAAACTTACTCTGTTAAAAGCATTTAAAGTTATTTAAAATTATCTTTTCTAATACAGGATGGGGTATAAAGATCTCACACATTCAGAGTGAGCATCATATGGGAAGAAATTGTTGATAGAAAAAAAAAACACAAATAAATACTGTAAACACGCCTAAAAGAGTTAAAATAGTGATGAAAGTTGTGAGCATGAGACAAGCGCAGACAACGAGAATTTACAGGTGCTCACTTGAAAGGGTAAGCTTTGACATGGACATTCATAAATATGGTGAATTGGTAAAATAAAAAAAACATTAGATAAATAAATTTTAGATTTATGGGTAGGAGAATGTCATAACAGAATTGTTAAAATTCTTGATTGTCATAAAATCAAAACATAACAGCTTAAAATATGAGAAAAGGGGATAAATAAACAATTATCGGATGAAATTGAAGTAAAATATCAAATTGTATGTGAATGATCAACATTTCTCACACCCCACACACACACACCTAATATTTCCTTAATTTCAAGACACACTATAAATTTGAAATCAAAAGATTTTGATATGCAAGAAAAAATTTCAAAATAATGATTATTAAGTTTTGTTAAATAACAAGTTAAAAAAACAATACAAATGCCAAATAACAGGTAATGTTCGGTCCATTTATTTTCAAGCTCTTCTGCACATATGACTATTTAACTTAATGTTGCATCAGAATATCATCTTGAAGGCATTTTAAATGTTAAACAAGCAATTATTTTTTGTTTCTTTTTTGGGCTGCAATTCTTAATCACCTTTTAATTTAAAAAATCATATGACTCCTGGTTGAGACTGAAGTTTCTATATAGTCAATCAAGGTCTCCAGCCCCTAAACTTTCCATATCTGGCCTGCATTTTAGTGATGTCTTGCCCCTGTATATTATACTTCTCCTGATAACAATTAAGTCATGCTGGTCATCTATCAAAATAAATTTTATAATGGAGAAACTTTTGAACTGAAATCACATAAAGTGAAACTATATATGAACTTCCAGTCCACTTCCACATGACTTCCAGTCTAGACTGAAAGTCATATGGAAGTGGACTGAAAGTTCATATATAATTAATTAGGGCCTCTGGCCACTAAGCTTTCTGTATCTGGTACCAATTTTCATCTTATAACTGTGTTCTTGAGATTAACAAAGAACAGATAGACAGACAACAGCAGGAATGCATAGGTCTGGAATTTGAAAACTGCAGCCCAAAAACAGTATAAATTAAGTGCTTGTTATCAGCAAAGTTCATTTGAACTAAATTAATTGTTGAACATTAAAGTAGAAAATGTCTATTATTAATGCATAATTCAACACAACTATTTGTAATAACTTCTAATAATTGCTTTTGGACTGAAAATATAAGATACTATTGATTCTAAAATATATCTCTACTTTAGACAAGTAAAAGTGTGTCATCAAAGTGATATGATATGTATATATGCATACATATCATATATATATATAATTATATATATAAATTTTTAATATAGTCAATATTTACCAATATTTTTGAAAATGATTATAACAAATTATAATAAAATAAATAAAATAAAAACAAAACAACAAAATAATATTATTGCAATTACCTAAGACAGTGATTTCAACTGATGCCTCATCTTTTCCAGAACTATTCACAGCTTTAATTGTATATTTTCCTGACTGTTTGCGTGTTACATTACTTAATTTTATGTGTGTTATATAATCCTCATTTTCAATTTTAATTATTTCACTCTTTTCAATTTCTTTTCCAGCAAAGAACCAAGTAATAGTAGGTGGAGGTTCACCAATTACTTCTACATCTAATTTAGTAGCATGGCCAGCATGCAATGTAATAGGCTGTAAATTGTCACGATTTATTTTTGGAGCCACTGTAAACAGAATACAAATTGTATATTAAGAGAAGAGATGAATATTACATAAAAGTTCATTAAAGTAAAAAGTGTATTGTATTTACAATATCTTGCTTTCACTGTATGAAGTTTACTAGGTTCACTTGGATCACCAGGACCTGCCTTATTGACTGCTCGAACTCGAAACTGATATTGTTGGCCTTTCATTACATCAGTTACTGTTGCTTCAGGCTTAGAACTAGTTGTTTCAAGACATGTTTCCCAAGTTGCTCCAAACTTTTCCTTCTTTTCAATAATATAACCGGTAATTGGTGCACCACCATCCTTTTTAGGTGGTTGCCATTTGAGATCAACTTTAGTTTCATCCCAGTCAACTATATCAGGAACTCCAGGAGCACCAGCAGGATCTAATGAAAGAAGTACATTTTAACTTTTTCTAAATTATATTAACTAAAAAGTATATTTAAAAAATTTTACCATAAGGATTCTTTGCAATTATTGGTTGAGAAGTGACTAATGGTTCAGATTCACCCTCAGCATTAACTGCTTTAACACGGAATTGATATTCTTTTCCAGGTGTTAGACCAGGAACTACCATTTCAGGACTATCTCTATCAGCTCTGCCAACTGGAACCCAATTTCCTGTTGCAGTGTCCATTTTTTCAACAACATAATGGTTTAGTGGTTTTCCTCCATCATCCTCTGGTTTTTGCCATTTTAGTTTACATCCTTTAGCATGCACATCAGTTACTTCAAGTGGTCCTTTTGGTTTTGATGGTGCACCTAATGACACAAGATTTAATTTATTTAAATTTTATATATTATACTATTTTCATAACAACTAAAACTAAGTTAAGTTACAAATTCAGCAATGTAACAGGTTTAATGTAAATGATATATAAATGTTGAAATACAGTAGCCCCTCATTACATTGTGCTTCTCAGGAGACAGAAAAAGCATGATATAACCAAGAAAGTTTACTAAAAATTCTCAGCTTTTACTAAGCAGATTAAACATGCTTTGGAATCTCCTATCCTCTATTCTTTCATCAGCAAGTGTTTCTGATATAAAATAAGCTTAGTTTTGCAATAGTGAATTTTATTCATGATTATATCATATTAATTGATGTTTATGTAAATATTGATACCACAAACGTCCATTTAACATTGTTGTTTCTTTAACAATGACATTTAAAAACAAATATTGTCAATATAAACACAAATGTAAGGATGCCGACATTAAGGGGGAATAAAGTCTATCTCGCGTCAGAATGAACCTAAGGGAAACCGCATATGTGGGCGGTGGCAAAGGAGGAAAATGAAGTACAAGTGTTTTACAAGATAAAACCCATTTATTTGTTCGAATTCATGCTTACATCGATAATGGACAATTCCAAAATCTCGGTGCTCCCGTGAACGGCGAAGTTCGTGTGATTGGTTGCAGCCCAGGCGGACAAGATCACTGGACGATACAGAAGTTCTGTGTTAAGTTGCAGTGTCCTGGGTGATTGGTGGTTGCACAACACAATCTAAATCACAACGGTAGGCTTAATCCCGAGGAGACTCTCTTTCAACCTTGAAGTTCCGATTTTTATAGTTTTTCCCCCCACTATTCGCATTTTGGATTGGTCCCTCGTCCCATTCCTTGCTTCCCGATTGGTCTGTCCTTTGTCTCCAGGTGCAAGACAAAACTTTTTCGGGTCGCGGAAAAGGTCCGATTCGAGGTGTCCATCTGATACCTCTTCGTTGACTCTGCTTGGTGACTGTTTATAAAATAATAACACCTGCACTCATAACTCAGGCTGTTATTTACCATTTTTTGACGTCTAAGAATTTAACAATCATTTTTCATCTATCAAAAATTCCCTTTTTTTTTTTTGTTCGAAAAGGTTTATCTTGACCAACATTTTATAGACACGCGAGTCAAAGATCCACCTGTTTATGAGCGCTCGTGTTAGAGTTTGTCTTCCGCTAAGACCTTGACAGATAGTTTGACACATACTCGAACTGTCCAGAGTCTCATTGTTTACATCTTGTGTCGCGCAAGAATTTCATGGTTTACTCGAGTTCGAACCTTGTCTGGGAACCCACACAAAATATCAGTTGCAATTTTATTATACAGTACTATATTTTATAATAAATTGCTTATTAAGAATTCATGTAATTTATATTTTTCAATAAAAATTATAAATACAGTAATTGAAAATTTAAAAGATAAATATTGAACATATAATAGAACATCAAAACTTATAAAATGAGAACAAAAATTCTCTAAAAAGCAAAATAAAGTTACCATTGTATAAAAATTTTTAGAACTTTCTGTTCAGAAATAAAGAAATCTCTTTTTCCTTGCACATGGTGAATTTGAAATTTTACAGAAACTTGTAAATGAGAAGACAGTACTTAATACCACTAAATAAACAATTTTTAATATTAAAAGGAAACAAATGATAACTGATCTGTCCACATGTTTTGCTTATTTAGATCTTGACAAATTTATTGTTTCACCTGCAGTGGTAGCTTCAAGAACAATGGTAGGAATAAAATACTGTATTTTGTTACAAAAAGAAATTCAATGACAATTGATATTTTAAAATTTATTGACTCAAGTACTTTTAAAATTTGGGAACCAAGATTTATCTGGATCTGCAATATAATGAGGGACTACTCTATTATATTAAACTTCTACATAAAGTTTACTACATTAGTATATGAAAAATGTTTGATATACATACACACACATACTATCCTACTAAAAGTAATTAAACACCTATACAAGTATCAAAAATAGTATTTTATTAGCAATTTTAGTACTTAGTGGGGTCTGCTTTAGTCTTAATGACAGTCTGTGTGGCATAATATCCACTAACTTCTGATACATCTCAAGTGGCATTTTCCTCTATTCCTCTAGCAAATAGATGACAATTTACATGATTTGCTATTAAAATACAATTAGCATCTGATTTATTTTGCAAATATAGTGTCCAATTACTTTTGGTAAGATAGCATAAGTCTACTAATGTTGGTGTAAAATAGTAATAAAATGTCATGTTTTTAAATTGAAAATAATATGTAAATAATGTATTAAAAATATAGTTCTTTTTATAATACAGTAGAACCTCGATTATCCGGACCTCTATTATCCAGATTTTCGATTATCCGGATTGTTCAAAATAAACAAAAATTTTACGAATTTACTGATTTGCACTTGGCGAATTACGACACTGTTTATGTATGTGATGGAATGCATAACTTTTTTTGTTTCAACGTCTCACCCAGTGGTTGTAAACTCTTAAATATAGTTTACGTCGTAATAAAAATATAACTTGACATACGTATTTATGAATAATTTATATTCAAATTACATCATTTCTATGACCAAGGGCGGCGTAAGGCATGGACGACGTGGGCCACCGCCTATGCCTCGCGGTCCGAAGGGCCTCGCGCCTCGAAGGTTTATGCATTACTTAAAAGCCGCGAACGCGACGAAAAAATTTTACTCGTCATAAAACGATAAATAGTTTGTCAAATTTTTATTCATAAAAATGCAGTTTCAACTTTTTTTTATTTTATAAAATCCGTCTTCTTGCACCACCAGAGGGCCTTTTAAACCATAGGTAGTCTGTTAGCGCTGGTCAGTAGTAGTCCAAATTCAATACAAACATTTATTTCTTGAAAATTTGATTACGATTTAAATACAGTATTTATTTTTAATATTACTGATATGTCATCGAAAAGAAAACGTGTTGTATTATCATTAAAAGACAAATTAAAGTATTTGTTTC